GTGGCAAAGGTCAATAATAACTATTGTTTTATGTTAATAATATCAGCCAGTGGAATATCAACTCCATTTGGAAATATGAAGAATCGCATCTCCCTCTTTGCAGGCGCTTTGTCACAATTGCAATAGCGATCTACTTAGATGGAGCTTTTGATTCCAAATCTCACGTAAGATATCTTTTCATGAACAAACTTCCAGATGCGATGTGGCGGCAGGATTAGTGGCCGTAGGGTTAGTGGCCGTCAGACACTGACGCCAGAGCGGAGGGTGTGTTTGACTCAGTGGTCCCCGGGCATGTCCCCTGCTGCCACTCTCGCCATTATCTCCCCGTCGCCAGTCCTCAAGCTGTGAAAGACAGCCCTGGAGCAGCACTTATTAATAATTCATTGGCTCTTTTTCTCCAAAGACGTGTACACTCGCCGATCAGAGCTCCTGATCAGCTAGGATATCCAGTGTGGACACAGTGAACGGGTCCCATCCCACCCACAGCAAAGCGACGGGGAGCCGTGTCCTGCACGGCCTTATCTCGGGAGCTGCCTAAGTCCCACCAGCTCCCATAGGACACTGAGCCCAGCGTGCAGACCGTTTCTATGGTCACCTCCCCCAGTTGCCGGGATGCCCACGGGGGGGAACAATCCTTTTGTTGTTCAAAATGGAATTCTGTCTTATCAATGAATTTCCAGTTTGATTTGCTGCCGGCCTGCTTGGTAGTCATCCGGGTGAATTAAAAACTGCTCAGTAGAGCCTGTCAGAGTTGCCTGTGAGTTACAAGGACACAAACACAGTGACCTGGGTCACGCACCCCTGAAGTGCTGCTCGGGATGGCTCGGGCAGAATCGGAGGGCTCCCGGGGCTGCCGAGGTACGGTTCCAGGCCGGCGGTTTACTCCCCTCCCCCCGTGCCTCCTTTAAAACACTTCCAGTCGGGCTCACCATCACCCTCCCCGAGCGATTCACCCTCCCGGAGCGCCCTCCTCTTATCCACTCGGCTCGCGCCTATGAGGTCAACGAGGGCTAGGGACTCTGCCCACCCTCCCAGATCCAGATGCTGCAGTTCTACCACCTCCACCTCCAAGCGGGACTGGATGTAGGCACCTTTAAGGCAGCGGTTCTCAACCTGTGGGTCGTGACCCCTTTGGGGGTCGAACGACCCTTTCTCAGGGGTCGCCTAAGACCATCGGAAAACACATCTATAATTACATATTGTTTTTGTGATTAATCACTATGCTTTAATTATGTTCAATTTGTAACAATGAAAATACATCCTGCATATCAGATATTTACATGACGATTCCTAACAGTAGCAACATTACAGTTAGGAAGTAGCAACGAGAATAATGTTATGGCTGGGGGGCACCACAGCATGAGGAACTGTATTGAAGGGTCGCGGCGTGAGGAAGGTTGAGAACCGCTGCTTTAAGGTAAGGAAGTTAAAACGAGGTCATAGGAATTGGCCCCAACCCAGCATGGCCAGTGTCCTTATAAGCAAAGGAGACGAGGAGACGGCCCGCGCAGAGGAATGCCCCGCTGAGGACACGGGGAGGAAACACCGCCTGCTTGCCAAGGAGAGGCCTCGGGAGGAGCCCGCTGCCCACAGCTGAGCTCGGCCTCCCAGCCTGCAGGGCTTGCACCAGGCCTTGCCCGAGCTCCAGCCACTGGCCACGGTACTTGGTCAGGGCAGCCCTCGCCCAGGAACTCGCCCAAGAGGCAGACGGTGCGTGGACATACCACTCACTCCTAAATAACATGACCCAACAGGCAGGCCTCCCTGTCAGAGCGGGGTGCCTGCAGGTGCGGGTGAGCACGGGACCCGGTCTAATGGGAGAGGCAGCAGGGAAATCCTCCGCGCGGCTGGGTTCTGAGTTGGACAAACAAGCGAAGCCGCGCACGTCCTGGACGAATGAGGAGACCCCCTCGGTGCGGTCCGTACCTAGTGGGGTTTGGTTGGTACAGGAGCGAGGTCAGCCAGGCTGTGAGGGAGGGGGTCCCCATGGGGTGAGGGACATGGAGAGGTGGGGAAGGCGGGTCTGAAGTACAGGGAACCCTGGGCAGAGGGCAGCCAGCGGACATGCGCCCCAGAAGGAGAAGCACCGAAGGCAGGGCCATGGCACTTCCCAGGCACAGGTTCTAGGGCTCCTCCCCGACCCCCCCCCCCCCCCACAGTCTCCTCCAGGGGAAGCAGAGAACAGGCGGCCCTGTGCCTGAGTGCCTCCCGGGAAACAGGCCCAGGGCAGCAGCCCTTTCCCCTCCTTCCCTCTACTCAAAGGAACCGGTGCTCACAGCCTGGCCAGATTGTACCCTCACCGGCGGTTCAGGCAGGACATGCGCTCCTCTCCATTTCCCATACACGCTGGGCCGTGCACCCCGCAGGCTACGAGTTCTTGCTCTGAGCCCAGGATCCCCAGAGCAGGCGTGCGAGCAGTGGTTGTGTCCTGGCACTTGGCACCATGACAAGTCTCCATTGTCACAAACCAGGGACCCCGTGGGCTCCAGGCTCACCCTTGACTCTTCCACAGCCATCCTTCTGACACCCCTCTCCCTGCGTGAAGGGAAACCAAAATACAGCCACCAGCTGACGGACACAAAGCCCTCTGAGCTAGGGAAACGCGTGGAGATGTTCCGTTGCTAACAGGAAGGAGCAGGCAGGGTCTATCCCGCAACGCAGTCAGCACGCATTGTGCGTCTGCAGGGCAGGCACAGAGCTAAGGACGCGAGCAGCTTCCCAACATTCCTGCTGGGACAGCTCACGGCCGACAGCGATTGGACAGAAGTTAGAATAAAGAGTCAGTCCTGGTCGGTGTGGCTCAGTGGTTGAGCACTGACCTATGAACTAGGAAGTCATGGTTTGATTCCCCATCAGGGCACATGCCTGGGTTGCCAGCTTGATCCCCATTGGGGGGCGTGCAGGAGGCAGCCGATCCATGATTCTCATCATTGATGTTTCTCTCTACCTCTCTCCTCTCTCTCTCTCCCTCTCTCTCTGCTCCTTCCTCTCTCTCCTCTCTCACTCCTCCTTCCTCTCTGAGATAAAAAAGAAGAATGAAGAGTCAGTTGAAGAGGAGAGATGCAGTTCATGCTCTAAAAATAGGGTTATTGGCCCTTTCATTTTCCCCAAGACGGTCCTCTTTCCAGAGTCCCCTTTGCTGCCCCATCTCCCACCTGCGGAGTGTGACACACATTCCACTCAGTGGCCCACTTTGAACGCAGGAGTCAAATAGGAGCCCCTCCCCGACCCAGAGGCAGGCTGGCGGCATCCACCACTTGCCAGGGAATTACCACACAGGAGTTTGAAGTCTCCTCTACCTGGGATTTCAGGGGGACAGACATCTGCTCCGTGATGCGTTGGGCATTTTAGATCAAACTGCTAATAACCCCTCCGCCTACCTCCTGGGACACGTTTAAGAAGTGAGCATGGAACTCCATACAGTGCAACAATCCACGTTAATAATTCATAACTAACCACACGTCTTTGCTCTTATGACACTTAGATTTTCTTATGAACGGAAACCTCAAGAGAATTGTTTTGTTGGGTCCCTCCCTGCCTACAGCCCTGTCCCAGGCCAACAGGGAAGTCCCTCCTCTGGGCCTCGCCAGCGCCCATGGCCACCTCTGCCTCTGCCCTCAATGCCGCACCCAACCACCCGGGTGTCCGCCCGGCTCCCCAGAACTCGGGGAGCCCTGTGAGGGCAGGGCCCTGCTGACTCAGGGCTGTGGCCCGGCCGGGTCCGTGGGAGTTTCTCACCAAAGTTTTCTTTGTTTCTCCAAGGGCTGAAACCAAGGGCTGTGAGGACAGACAGGTTTGGCATCGACTCCCAGGAGGCGTCGGGGTAGCCTGGCCCCCTTATGTCACAGGTAAGAATAAAGGCACCACGAGGGGCCTGGGCTGGGTCCCTGTCGTGCGCTGGTTGCTGCAAAGCCAGAATGGAACCTCGTGGTTCCCGACTCCGAACCCCAGAGTTCTTTCTACACAAACTACTTTACAGACCTATACCCCCAGCTTCCTGTTTGCACAGCATCAGCATCGGGGGTTCAATCCTAAAACTCCCCACAAGCAGGCCCACCCTGGGCACACCCCACATCTGCATTTCTCGGTGGCTGTGGCCTGGGGGACCAGCAGGATCCTCCCCACCTGCCCTTCCCGCTCAGCTTTGGGAGCTCTAGGTCCCAGGATGCCTTCTGCCGCCAGGAAATCTCTGTCCTTCCCAGTCCGTGGGCCGAGGCCAGGCAGGCCTGGCTGGCGCCTGCGCTGGGGGGTTGGGATGGGTGAACTGCCTGCAGGTGTCTCCCAGGCCCCCTGGCTGGGAGGCAGGGCTTTCACTCGGGGCCAGGAGGTCACTCGGGGCCAGCGCATGCGTGTTGGGCAGCATCTCCATCTCCTCCCTGGACTTTGGGTCCCAGGGAACCGGGTAGCCGCATGCGCAGCGGAGTAGAACCGCTGAGCGGGACACAGGAGTTTACTTCTGAAGAGCGGTGCTGCCTTCACGTTACTTAACAATCCTGTGGCTCCGTGTCCTCTTCTCCACGCCTGGGGACAGTAGCCGTAACCTGCTTGGTAGCATGGCATGAGGCTGAGCTACGTGACCGTGAGTTTGAAAACCAGCCCGGAGCCTGGCTCACAGGCACTCGGAGGGGCTGCTGCTCACACTGGCACGTTCTCACCTAAAAGAGAAGGTTTTACCCCTGCACTGGCATCTGGGTTTTTGCTGACCACTGTGTCCGGGTGGCCAAGGAGCAGGCGTTTTCTTTCCATTTTTAGAATATTTTCAGGACGGCCCAACACATACCAGGGGAATGGCTGATTTAGATGAATCCTCGCCCTTAACTGGCTATTAGCATAAGAATACACCCTGAATGGCCCGCACTGTCATGCAAATCGCCGTGTGTGAAAGCTGGTGGAGCAGGTCAAGGGCCAGGAGTTTACAGGAGTAGCCAGAGCTAAGTTCACCTTAGAGGTGCCGCCAGTGGAGGCCGGGCCGCGCCCTCCGAGCCTGGCCTCCCTCCCAGGAAGCCCGGTCCCGGGAAGGCAAAGGGGCGAAGTGCCAGCCGCTATGGGAGAGGTGGCGTTAGGGGCACGCGGCGATGCCCAGCTCTGGGGAGC